GGATGGTTGATGAAGAACTAACAGTTCTGAGGGCCTGGATGATGGATCTTTAAGATCAATGATGGGTAATAAATGAAGAACAATTAATAAAACACAATAAATGTAAGCAATAAAACCAAAGGAGCGACAGTAGAATATGTTTAGGTTGAAGAGCAGAGAATGTTCTTGTTCTTGTATTGAATATCATATGTCTTACAAAATGATAAGGGTCCCCTTTAAATAGGAGGGGGAATCCCAACATGGTACATATGTAATTATTATAAAGAAATGTAGCTGGTACAGCTACTTGTACTATCCTTGCAGGCGTTGTCAGCTTTGACCACGTGCCTAGGGAATTTCCCGCTTATCCATGATAGCCACCGATTAGTGCTGCCCCGAAATCGAGCATAGGGAACCCTCGGGGTCGAACCTCGAGCTGTGCCTCGAGCCTTCTGGAGACGGGCTATGGAGTGTCATAATGATCATAAAATCGGACTCTCCGATTTTAGCCGTATACACATATATATATTTCTTCTTCTTAGTAAAATACATTGGGCCTTAGTTGCTAGGTTAGGCGCCGAAATCTGCGAGTAACTCTACAAGCTTGGGCCATGTTATTCATCCAATGGTTTCTGTCCCCCGAAACGTGGAAATGACACCAGTAGCTACTTTTAAGCATACTGTTTAAAATATCTTTACAGTTTATAATGTATTTAAATATTAGCTAATTCGCTCAAACTTCAAGACAAGACGTCCTGAAGTTCAAATCTCTAAGTTTAAACTTCAGGACATCGTGTCCTAAAATTCGAATATTGTGTCCAGAGATCAAAATTTATGTCTTGAAGTTTAAATTAGCAGTTTAGAAATTCATTACACTTAGTCTTGAATTTCAAATTAACAGATCAAAAATTTAGGACACTAAGTCCTGAATTCCAATTTAGCAGCTCAAAAATTTAGGAAAAAATTCAGGATACTTAGTCGTGATGTTTGGGTGAATTGGCTAATCTTCAAATATATTGTAAATTGTGAATATATTTTAAATAGCAAGCTTAAAAGTAGCCGGTAGCGCACTTTGCCCCCAAAACGCAATCTTTTTGGGCCTCAATTTTCTCCGATCTTCTGTATTCCATCCATTTTTAGGTAATATCTTTACCTTTTAATGAATTTCTTAACAAAAGCTCGGCCAAACTTGTATTTGAACTTTTACAGATACCCTTAATTGGGATTTCTTTATCTTTAATCGATCATAGATTTCGAGCTTCGAGAATGGAGTACTGCATAATAGAGAGCATTTTACCCTTTAATGGACCTACTTGATGCAAATCCTAATAAATCGAGCTGCACTCTCATTAAATCAATAGCAGCACCCACAACCACTTAATTTTTTTTTTTTGTTGATAAACAAACACAGCTAACTTATCAAATGTTCGGCACAACAGGCTTCTTGAAACTGATCAATAATTTTGGAAAACCTCATTTTTAATCATTTCTTTATGTTATCCAAACAGCCTTTTTCTTCATTGTGGAAAACTTTACAAGAAAAAAAGGCTATAACTATAATACATTTAGCTAAACAACTAAAAAAAAGTGAAGGAGTCCACTATATAGAATTTTGTCACAAATGACCGACCATATAGTTGTTGGGCATCACATGATCTTGAAAAAGAATTGTGTACCTCATCTTCATTATAACTTCGCTAGCGTTTTGCTATAGATACCAAATTTATTTTGAAAAATTTAATTTGGGTGAAGTTTGGTTTAAAGATGAAAATGTGTTTGGACATACGTTTTCAAAACATATTTTCCATATTTTTTGGAAAAACATGTATATAATTCCCAAGTTTTGGGATTTTGGCCCAAAATTAGCTCAATAGCTGATTTGGGGATTTGGGATTTGACCAAAATATGAGCAAAATTTATGGCCAAACATGAGTTTTGAAAATAAATCCCTAAACTTATGGTCAAACGGGGCCTTCAATTTTGCACTTTTTGTACCTTTTGAAGTGGGTTATCAGTTGCTTTTTGGTTGTTTCTGTAAATTAATCATATAATCACTTAATGGTCCATGAAACATCCTTTTTCTTTTAAAATAAATTGTATTAAATGGGGAATCAAAAATTATAAAATACAGTCAAATTTTGCTATAACAGTTTTGTTTGTTCCGACAATTTTTGGGTGCTCTTGTTAAGTATTATTATAGAAAACATATATTATAACATAACATGAAAAAATTAGTTCCAAAAAAAGCTTAACCGCTATAATAAAATGCTATTATAGAAAATAATTATTATAAAGAAGTCTGACTGTACAATTTTATATAGACTAAGCCCCATTTCCTTCATGTTTCCTATTATGAACTTAAATTTCTTTCTTTGTTTAACAATTCGTCTAATCATTTAGAGCCTTCTAGTCTACTAGTCTACTCTATAGTTCTGACAATACGTATGAAATATTTATATATAAAATTAGTGGTAGAGTTGGAACTTTGGCATTGAAAGGACAGGGACGAGCTATATGCAAAAAAGTTTTGGTGAAAAAGGGTTAAATTAGCAAAAAAGTAATATTAGATGAGGTACTTTACTTTTTAGTCTGTTCCAAAACAAATGATACATTTTTAAATTTGGAAATAATTCAAACTTTAAACTCTTCATTTTACTCATTTACCCTTAATGAGAAGCTTTTATAGCCACACAAATGGCATGACGCCACAAACCTTTTACCCCTTAAGCTTTTAAGACCACAAGTTTCAGAAGTCTTCTTCTTTCTTCTTAAACTCCGTGCCGAGTCAAACTACCTCATCTAATATGAAACGGAGGGAGTAATATTTTTATATGTAAAAAAATAGAAGTGAAAATGGATTGCATGCCCATATATTATATTCTAGCTTATTGGTTGCCTATTTTATATTTATATATAAATTTAAGTGCATTTTTTCCCCAAAGTGTAAGTGCATGTCGGTCGTCGTTTATGTTATTATTTTCAAGAGTAAAGTATTTTTCTATTTAACAGCTTTTGTTAATTGACAACTTTACATTTATAATGAGTAAATTATATTTCAACCTTTGGTTCTCTTCTCCTTTTGCTTTAAATTTAGACAGGGACGAACCTTTACCTATACACCAAGCAAACCTCAACAAACAATCTTCTTCTCCTTTCTTTTTATTCTTCAAAGCAAATTCAACCAAATTCAGGAATTGATGAGTTCTAGCTTTAAGTTATTTAGCATTAAAACAATTACACTTTTAAAATTCAGAATTCTGATATAATATTTAATGCAAATTTAATCGATATCAAAGTTATGTCTCACATCAAAAATATTAGGTACGTACGGATGACACTTGGTGCCAAATCGCTATATGCTATATATATCTGTCTGACAGGGGCTTCTCAATAAAGTTGGTGACCTATAAGCCAAACCTTGTTCGGAGGCCATAAAATTAATTAGTTAACCCCTGATATATAGTTAAAAAATTCACCAGCTAATATGCGTAAATAAAAGTAAAAAGAGAGCATATTTATTTCAAGAAGACTTTGCTCTTGAATAATAGCAAAGACCAAAGTTATTAGCTTTCCCAACATTTACTAGCATTTAGTGGATTAATCTCTATTAATAACAAGACTGTGAAAATCAAATGATGTAGGTGTAGGAAATTCAAAGTACGAGCATCATTTTAATGAGTTGGCATTTATAAAAGAGATAAAAGTCTTTAGTTATTTTTAGACCTATACTATGTTCCCACACATGCTAGCTAGGAGAAGCATTATTCTTTTTCAGCAGTAGCGAAGCCAAAAGTTTCTCCAAGAGTATTCAAACCTGCAGAAAGAAACAAAAAAAAAATTCCCGACAAAATGTTTTCAATATATATTATATATCTCCGATTTGTGTCAGACAACTGACCACCCTTAACTAAATGTAGCTTCGACCCCTACTTTCAGTATAACTTCTCTTGATTTAAAGTGTAAAAAGATATTTGTTACTGTCAAGTCACCTAAATAACAACTAAGAAATTCATGTTATCGTCTATTAAAAGAGAAATAAGTTCGCAACCTAAAAAGAAAAATTACATATTTCAACAAGTTTGAACACACGATAGTATAAATTTTTTTGACAGCGCTAAATATATATAAGTTTAATCTTTTTTAAAATTGAGTCCAATATGGTCAGTGTCCTAAACATATAGGTGTTAGGTAACTATTTTCAAACTTTAGACTAACCAACCCAAACAACTTACTACATTTTTGACAAATTAAAGTTCCAACCGCATTATTTACAAGCAGAACTGAGAGCAAGAAATCAGCTACAATTACGGAATTCATTTATTCGGGAACTAATAATGGTTAGATTTAGAGACAGTTCCCGGATTTAGATTATGTGGGTTCAATTTTAAAGGTTTCTAGCATTGAACCCATTGTATTTTTAAAGTTATGGGTTCAGACCTATTATTTGTTGCAATTTTAATGAATCTTTTACACATAAATTTATGCTCCCGGGCGAAAGTACTGGGTTCAGATGAACCCGGCGGCCATACTCTACATCAGCCCCTAGTTAGATTACCACGTAGGGTACAAACATTGAAGCTCATGGTGCAATACTTCAAAACCATATTTAACTAGAAGAGAAAAATGCCGCCTCTCGAGTAAAAATTTAAGCGCATCCTGTGTTTAGACCAAACAAATATAACTTTATCATGGTTAAATAACAATAAGGTAAGAATATATATTAATTAACTACACTTAGATGAGAAAAGAGTACACACATGGTCGTAAGCACCTTATCCCAAGCAGTATTATGTGACACCGCTTCGTCATACACATAATAAGAAAAATAAAAATATTGGATATAAAATAAAAAATAGTATCACTTGTTGTAACATTGATTTATTTATTTATTTAATTTTTTAAATATAACACCGTTTACTAAAGTTTCTGCGTACAGTACACAAAAGACACATACATTATGTTATAAATTGATTTAGGGGGTTGGGGTCTTCCTTTTCAGATTACAGAAATTCATAAAGATGCGAAGAATTTGGTACTTACCATCTTAACTCAAAGAATTATAATTAATGATTCTTATTCAAAGTTCAAACCCCTAACAAATGCTCAGCTCTATAAATACAAGAGAGAGGGCATTGTTGAAAGCATATGTCTAGTACTATTTGAAAGAAAAATGAATTGAAACTTTACTTCTTATAAATAACCTTGTAACGCTTTTTCCTCCTTTGAATTCACACCTTAAAAAAACCATACAACATTTGCTTCTTGTCATTGCAGAGGTATGTACATTTTCTGCTTCTTGGTTTTGTTTTGGCGTTATATTCTTCTGTATATCTTCAAGAACAAAATGGCAATGCTAAAAATATGAATTTAAGTTATACACATTCACAGTGTATCCGCGCCCGTTACTATAATACATTGTTGTTACTATTGTTTGCTACTTGAGCCAAGGGTCTATCGGAAACAACCTCTTTATCTATATAAGGTAGGGGTAAGGTTTGCGTACACACTACCCTCCCCAGACCCCATTTATGAGAATATACTGAGTTTGTTGTTGTTATTGTTGTTGTACATTAACAGTGTAAAAAAATTTCACATTATTAATGAATTTTAACATGTAAGAGCAAGTTAGTTACAGTACTATTTTTATATATTAGTTATACTTATCAAGAGATTTATCTGTCTATATAAATACAAAGAGTATTAAACTCTAAGAAACATTCAAAAGATATACTTCAAAGTAAGCTATATATATATATGACATACTAAAGTGTGTTTGCAGGGAGAGTGAAAACTGCAAAAGAGTTGGAAAAATGAAGAAAGTTGGGAGAAATATTAGAGGATGGAGTTCTGTTGTTGGATTGTTGGGTATTTTGCTTCAGCTATTCTTGCTAATTGAATGTGCAGCAACAAGGTATATTTCAGTTATTTATCTTTCTTTTGGTTTTAGTTCAAATCATTATTTCGATTATCATTAAAATATATAATACTATGGTTGTTTTGTTGTCTTCTCTATTCTGTCAACTTATGTTTTCGTAGTTACTTAACATATTATAGGAAATGGAATTCTTGGATTTTGTTTGAGATGATGAATGAGAATATAGAGAAGTGGAACTTTTATTTTTTTTGTTTGGTTTTGTTGCTTTTTGTCTGCTAGTTTGTTTTCAGGTAGTGCTGTTATCTTGTTTTTCCTTTTGGTTTAACTATTGTATATGTTAAACCCACAAACCCGACCTAACTAATTCAGATTCGCACCAAATAAGTACACTAAAAAAGTAAGTAAAATATTCTTCTGAAATTTCATTACTTTAACCCAAGAAATCCAATTAAGGTGGAGAGTTCTCAACAATTCCAAAATATACTTAGTGGTACCTATTGAACTTTTAGTTGAAGGGTCATGGGAAGGACAATGTTCACATTTTTCTGCTTTTGGCTTTTGGCTTTCTGTTTTCTTGTTCTTGTTTCTTTTTATCTTTCCTTTGAGTTTTTAAAAACTATTTAACCACATAATGAGTGAGATGGCAAACTAGCTATATAAAAAATGAGAAGTGACAAAAAGAAAGAAAAAAGAGGGTTTGATCCAAAATATTTTTCTTCTTTCTCCAACCAATTTTTCCCCACATAGTCGTTTTGGAGCTCGAATAATCCAGACTCACGCCATGAAGTCCAACTTTGGAGAAAAAACGCTCTTTATTAAATATGATTAATTCATATAGCATAAATCTAAAACCTCCGATTAAGAATGACGGGATTCTCACCACCTCATCACCACAACCGTTAGTGGTCTCCAACCAGTTACCATTTACATGTGCACCTCTGACTTAAGGACATTCTAAGTTGAAGGGCACACAAGTTGTCTTTTTCATCTTTTTCCCTCTTTTAGTACCGTCATTGATGGGCGCATGACTTAGTTTTCTTCTGCTTAGGGAAAGGTATGTCTTCCTTTCCCAAATAATGCTATTTTATTCCAAAGTGCTTAGTGAATAATGCTTTGTAGCTTTAAAGTGATTATGCTCTACCATAATTAACCTATTAATATATGGGTCCCACACCCCTTTTCCAAGAAAAGAAACATATAGAAAAACAAACAAAAATGTTTAGTGGTTCGATATTAGGAGTCTAACGTAAAAGCAATTGCATGAATATGTTGGCTTTTAAAAAAAGTTATTACTCCCTCCGGTTCAAAATAAGTGATTTTTTGGATGTTTTCACACAGATTAAGAAATCCACCTTTTAGCATTAATTAGGAATGGAATTGACCATATTAACCTTTACTATCTCACATAAACACTCCTAACACGTATTCCAACACTAATTACTCCAAGGACAATGTAGGGAAAAAATAATTAATACATTCTTGAAATCTGAAAAAATCACTTATTTTGGACCACAAGAAAAAGGCCAAAAAATCACTTATTTTGGACCGGAGGGAGTAATAAATAAAGTGTTTGTTTGGCCAAGTTTTTTTTTTTTTTTTTTAGCCTAAAGTGTTGTTTTGGGTCAAAAGTGAATTTTTTTCAAAGTTAAGGTATTTGGCCAAGCTTTTAGAAGGAGAAATAATAGTAATTGTTAGTAGAAGTAAGTAGAAACAATTTTCAATAAGCAAAAAAATAGCTTTTTCTCAAAAACACTTTTTTTGAAAGCACTTTCGAGAAAAATACAATTAGAAGCAGTTTTTAAAAAGTTTGATCAAGTTGCTGCTCAAAAGTGTTTTTCTAAATAATTAGCCAAACACAAACTGTTTCCACCAAAAATATTTTTTTGAAAAGCACTTTTGAAAATTTTTTCCTTCAAAATAAGCTAGATTTTAAAATTTTGGTCAAACACACTATAAAATAAAAAAGTTAGGGGAGATGGGACTAAAATTGTACTATTGTGGTAACTACACTATTTTGTATTGTCGAAGTTATTTTTGGAATTTCAATCTTCTCCTTTGCTGTCTTTTTATTCCTCATATTTGTCAGTCTTAATCGTACGAAAAAAGAATTAAAAAGAGAAATGAAAAATAAAAGTGAAACATGGGAGGTGGTTAAATTTTTATAATTAATCTTCAGAGTAAATTAAAGTTAACTCATCAAAACTCTTATCACATGATTTTCTTTTTTTGGTTTTCTGTATTTGTTTTTCAGGAGAATTACCAAGAAGAACAGCCAATCGGACTTGCAATCCTTATATCCTCCAGTACAATTACATAGACTGAATAATCATGTAATAACCTCTACAATGATTCTTACCACCTTATTCTTCTATTTTTTTCACCTTACTCAAATAATATAAATGCTTTTAATTAGTACAATTTTCTTTTCCCTTTCGCAGGTGTTGGTGGATAATGGCCTATTCAACATTACATTTTCTGTTCCTGGGGGAATGATCAATGCTATACAATACAATGACATCGATAATTTATTGGAAAATGAAAATAAACTAAATAATAGAGGGTACGTTAAGTCTTCTAAGCAGTCTATACTTTTTGGTTTTCGATATTTGCATTGGGATCCCGACTAATCAGGATTCGCGTCGTGTAAGACCCATATAAGCAAAAGCGCTCTCTACCATTATCTTTTTCTAACCTATGGCTCAAACCCGAGACCTTTAGTTAAGGAACGAGGGTTATTATTCATCCTCCCACCATACCTCTTGATGGTCATCTATATATTTTCACTTTTTCTAGGTCACAATATATTGTCATAAGTTGAAAAATTTACACAAAATATTTGTAGGTATTGGGATATTGTTTGGAACAAAGCAGAAAAACCAGGGATCATCTATGACAAGTAAGTTTTTTTTTCTTTATGGATTTCTATTTTGGAATTATTTAAAATTTAGCCTCAATTAGTGAATATGAGAAACTGATGAGTGTTTCCAATTTTATAATTGTAGACTTGAAGGGACAAACTTTGAGGTTATAGTGCAAGATGAAAATCAAGTAGAGCTTTCATTCACAAGGACTTGGAAGTCTTTAAATGCCTCAAATCTTTCTATGAACGTTGACAAAAGGTGCAGTGTAAGTCTTTTAATCTTTGCCTTAAAATATTAATTACCATTAATATCAACCCTTTTGAGTCTTATTTACTCACTCAGAAATTTTTGTATTCGGTATGATACAAAAAAATTACCTTATTTTGTTTGGTCACTTTAAATTAACCAAATCAAGTAATCTGTAGGCATTAATCTCTACTAGTACGGTCAGACATTTTTATAACAACATTCCTATATAACAGCCATTCACAATAAAAGTCAAGTAGGGGTGTTCACGGTTCGGTTTGGTCGGTTTTTGATTAAAATCAAAACCAAACCAATTTAATCGATTTTTAAAATTTTAAAACCAAAACCAAACCAAATTAAATACAAACCACCGGTTCGATTGTTGTTGGCTTGGTTCGGTTTGGTTCGGTTTTTCGGTTCTTAGTAAGCTAATGATAAGTCGATAATATTAAAACAACGCTAGACAACAATCTGAAAATAATTTGCCAAATTTATGCTTTTTATATATTTCTTTGACAACTGAAAGTTTATTTACATGTTTATATGAAAAGAATGAACAAAAAACAAACTATAAGGTTGCTTTTTCAAGCTTTAGTCATTGTTGTCTTGCAATTTGAATGTGCTTTCTTTACTCTTGTGGTGGTTTTTTTTTACCTCTTCTTTTAGGCAAAAGTATGTGCGGAGGGTTAGAGAATTAGAGTCTATTAATGAAAAGAAAATTGGTCGAATCCTACTGTTTTGGGATTAGACAATCTTTTAAGATATAACAGGATAAACCAAAATTCAAAATAACAATTAAAATTATTAACAAAAAGATATTATATTGTATACAAATAATTATTAAATTTTGTATATAATTAATCAGTTTGGTTCGGTTTATTTTTCGGTTTTTTAAAATAGAACCAAAACCAAACCAAATATTATCGGTTTTTAAAATTTAAAACCAAAACCAATCCAAATAAAAAAAAAAGATCGGTTTACTTAATCGGTTTTCAGTTTGGATCGGTTTTCCGTCAAACCGTGAACACCCCTAAACCCAAGTTTTTCTTGGAGCCGATTTTTATATTATGTTATAATATATGCTTTCTATAACATCACTTCACTATAGCAGCCAAAAATATCCAAACAAACGAGACTGTTATAGAGAATTTCAATTTTTACTACAGATCACTTGCTTCGAACAACATCCCGATTGTTGTCGACCTTTCAAATATCATATATTACGTAATTTTATGTGTAACCATATGCGAGAAAATGATTTCGCAAAATAATAGCAGATAACATATTTTTCGCGGAGAGAAATTTCTTGGATTTGAAATGCCAAAATCAGGAAAAACTATGTGAAATTAATGTTTTTCCTTCGCTAATATTTGGTTTAATTTTTGTAGATTTATAATTCTTCGGGGAAATAGTGGCTTTTACTCCTACGCAATTTTGGAACGCTTGGAAGGTTGGCCAGACATAGATGTCTACCAAGGAAGAATGGCTTTCAAGCTTAATGAAAAATTGTATGTAATTAACAATTATTAGTGGCCTTGTAAAGGCAGCTCGGTGCAGTAAACTCCCGCTATGCGCGGGGTTCGGGGTAGGGTCGGACCACAAGGGTCTATTGTACGCAATCTTCCCCTGTATTTCTGCAAGGAGCTGTTTCTACAGCTCGAACTCGTGACCTCCTGGTCACATGGCAGCAACTTTATCAGTTACGCCAAGGCTCCCGTTCTATTAGTGGCCTTATGTTTTTCTCTATTTATTTCCTTTTAATTGTGTGTGTATATTTATTTATACGTGAGTGTGCAAATCCGGATTAGTCGGGTTCAAGTCCTGAAAATGAAAAAATTCGTATAATTACTTATCTTTTACTTTATTGCTCCGAAAATACTAAATTATTTTTTGTAACAAGAAAGTTTTTCAAATTAGTTTTAGTATCACTACCTTAGTTTTGGCCATGGTTGTAAAATAAATAGTTGGCTAACTTTTTGGGCAGGTTCCCATATATGGCTATTTCAGATGAAAGACAGAGGATAATGCCCACAGCAAAAGATCGAGAAATGGGCCGAGAACTTGATTACCCAGAAGCTGTACTTCTTACAAGCCCAACTAATTCTTTCCTCAAAGGAGAGGTAGATTTCGTGATTATTCTTCTTATCTTCTTATTATATATTCTGAATTTAAATTAATCATACACTTCTTAACTACTATTATCTTTTATCTTCTTATTTTTTCATTTCAAATTTGATTTTCTTGCTGCTAAAATGTTTTTAGATCTTTACACAAATAGCCAGCGGATTTACTATTTATTTTTTTTTAGCATGTATATGTAAAATATATATGGTTATACATATATTATACATGGACATTTATGGAGTCAGGATTTTCATTAAAGGATGTCAAAATATAAAAAATTAAAATACACAAAAAAGGAAAAGGGATTAAACGTATAATATGTATACATAAAACTGAATTTTTTTACCTAACAACACAGGGAGTGTCAGTTTACAACCTTAGTTACACGTGGCTCTGCCAATGTACATGGATTAAGCATAAGTAATGTATATTATGATTATTTTTAATTTATACGATCGGGTAGGCGACTATTTAGGTTAATTACTCTATTATTATTTTAATCTAGGTGGATGATAAGTATCAATACTCTCTTGAAGACAAGGATAATCGGGTCCATGGGTGGATAAGCCCAAACCCGAGAACTGGGTTTTGGATGATTACACCTAGTAATGAGTTCAGAACAGGTGGGCCTGTTAAACAAGACCTCACTTCTCACACCGGCCCAATAACTCTATCTGTAAGTATATCATATGTTAGCTGCATAAAGTGTTTTTATTCTTCTTGTAAGATTATATATCCTTTATTTTTTTAATCCATATTTTAAAATGATGCTAGAAATTTCTATAAATAGAAATCATACCATATCTTGAAGAAATAAGAAAAACATAATTTTGGTTTTACCCTATGTTATATGGAAAACACCTAGAATCCGCATTATCAGTGGCGGCGGATGTAGCCTTTGTGCTGTGAATTCAATCGAATCCAGTATTTTCGATGTATGCTTTAAATATGTATGTAAAATTATTATAATTTCAATAAATATTAAATTTGAACATATAATTTTAAAAGTAAAATGAGTTTAGTGCTAAAAACTTAGAAGGTCAAACAATTGATGTAACATATGTTCACACAATTGATGTAACAGATGTTTTTCAGCACACATTATGCGGGAGATATTCTAGCACTGAGATTTCGAAATGGAGAGCCCTGGAAAAAGGTTTTTGGCCCTGTTTTTATCTACTTAAACTCTGTCTCATCAGACGATGAAGATATTCCCACACTATGGACAGATGCAAAGGAACAGGTACTTTTCTATTACAGTATGTTGCTCGAACTCTCCAAAAAATGATGCCGAGTGCATGTCAGATCCTTCAGAAGATGGAGGATTCCCACAGGCCGGCGACATATTTGGAGAGCAATCCAATTTAAAAATAGTAAAAGGTCTCTTCTTAATTATTTGACTGGACTTTAACGTGAACAGATGTTAATAGAAACCGAAAATTGGCCATACAATTTCCCTCTTTCGCAAGATTTTGTTGCAGCTGATCAACGGGGTACTGTAAGTGGCAGATTACTCGTTAGCGATAGGTACATTAACTTACTACGTACTATTTTTCTACTAGTGTATAACAAGATGCATGTTTTTTTTTTATACTTACTATTAACAAGCTACAAGTTTCTTATTGCAGCTATGTAAGTAAAAGACTTATCACAGCAAATTCTTCTTTCATTGGGTTGGCTGTACCTGGAGATGTAGGGTCATGGCAAATTGAAAATAAGGTTTGTATATTTCTTTTTTCTCAAGTATTTTTAACAGCATTGTTTTTTTAAACTTAGCTGCATTAATTTTTTTTTTCACCAATACATGATTTTTGTTATTCTTCAGGGTTATCAATTTTGGACTCAAACGGATAATGAGGGATATTTTTTGATTAAAAATATCATTCCAGGCAATTATAGCTTGTATGCTTGGGTTCCTGGATTTATTGGTGATTACAAATCCAAGAACTACATCAACATTACTCCAGGTTTGCATAAAACACTTTTAGTTGCTCCATCCACTTAAAATCCGATACCATACTAATCGATTAAATTTAGGCTCGATTTGTGAGACAGTACTTTTACTTTTAACCGATAGGTCATGAGTTCGAGCCTGATGATATATATATCAACATTTGATAAAGTTGATAAATTTAACTTCTTATACTAAAAAGAGCAGTCTGGTGCACTAACCTCTCGATATGTGCGGGGTCCGAGGAAGGGTTGGACCACAAGGGTCTATTGGACGCAATCTTACCCTGCATTTCTGCAAGAGGCTGTTTCTACAGCTCGAACACGTGATTTCTTAATCACATGGCAGCAACTTTACCAGTTACGCCAAGGTTTCCCTTCAATTTAACTTCTTACACTGACAATATAATTTTGTTCAACAATATAGGGTGACTTAAAAGCTGCACGTAACTGCGGATAATAAGTAGAAGTAGTTACTTGAAAAAAGAAAGCAGGCAACCTACTATAACAGGTTAAGTTGCACTAATAGCCTAAATATTCTCACTTGGCAGACTCTCTACCCGTTGGGGTAGGAGTAAGGTCTGTTATCGCTACTGTGTTAAAACACAAAATTAGAAAGACTGTTAGAAGATAAACTGGAAAAACAGTAAACTATAAAAAAAAATATTCCGAGTCCACAATTTTTTTGTGCGTCCTTAAGGAATTTTAACCCCCTCACACGTTACCAGGGTAATGGATTAAATCCTCCCAAGATGAAACGGAATAAACCTTCCTGCAACAGTGGCAATACAAACTGCAGGATACCAACGAACTCAAAGAACGGAGCAAAATCACACTTACGAATTTGAGAGAGAGAGACTGCAAAGTAGAATACAGTATTCAGAAGGAAGGAAGTTCTATAATTTTTCAGTGTCGAAAAAAGAAGCCATGCCTCAGATTTATAGGCAATTATCGGAAGAGGTGTGATGTCTGTTCAGGAAAAAGTGTCTGTTCAGGAGGAAAAACAACGTTCAGCAAAGGCAGCGTGAATTTGAATTCCAGTTAATTCCGTTAATGAACTGACTGGCATTTAATTAATTATTAAATAATTAATTAAATAAATTTTGTCCAAAAAATAATCTTATCGATCATTTGACAAATCCAAATCCAAATCCAAACCCGAAGCCGAGCCGATCGAGCGACGACGACGGCGCGAGGGTTCATTCTCTTCAACTCCTTTTAAGAGCTCTAAGAAGTGATCCTATATATATACACACAAATGTAGTTGTCCGTCACCAATGAGGGACAAAGTTCATGACAAAAGCTCACTTGATTCGAATTTTCATTTCCCTCCATTTTATTTCCCACCATTTCCCAATTCACACTCTTAGACTTTAAAGCCCAATGCTTAAAGTCTTTAAAGCCCAATGCTTTAAAGTCCAACAATCCCCCACATGAATGGGAATGGCTGTAACAAGAATGATCATAGATAAAAGTTGTGTGATTTGCAAGTAAGGATTAATTGCATCTGGATAAGTAGGTTTCCCTTTGAACTTTTCATAGTGAACATATGTCGGATATATTCGGTCAATCAGTAGATTTGATATCTTTGAACCGTCGAACTTTAGTGTATACCTAGACAACCATATGTCACACAACCAACCCTTAACCGTCTTTTGGTTCTCATTGTTGTGTTCGTTTCAGCCATGAACACCGCCTGGTTTCATAAGTGCGTAGAGAATTAGCCTTACAGAATTCTCATTGAAGCGGCTTCCACTTCACACTTACATAGGTGATTCCTAAACGTGTAATCCTTTAGATTGACACTATTTGATAAATACCACATCAAACTTAGGTAATCATTAAAGAACGTGTAAAGTTTTATCCTTGTTACTGAACATTGTCTTCATCACGAGAAGGGACCAAAGATTTTACTTTGACAATGTTGAACCGGTCAATCACAACTTTGTTTGAGCTCCTTGAACCTAGATCTCGGAATATTTAAAATTTTAGGTAGAGTTACCGCCATGTTGACTTGTCCTCGGCCATAGTCCCATTCCCTTAAATGACTTCTTAACTCCTTCTCTAGTTAAGCCTTTTGTAAGCGGATCCGCCACATTATCCTTTGATCTTACATAATGAATAGTGATAATTCCACTAGAAAGTAGTTGTCTAATGGTGTTATGTCTTCGTCGTATATGACGAGACTTTTCGTTATACATAACGCTCCCTGCCCGTCCTATTGCAGCCTCACTATCGCAATATATGCAAATAGGAGCCAAAGATTTTGGCCAGAACGGAATGTCTTCTAAGAAATTTCGAAGCCATTCAGCTTCTTCACCGGCTTTATCCAAACCTATAAACTCTGATTCCATTGTAGAGCGAGCAATGCACGTCTGTTTGGAAGACTTCCAAGATACTGCTCCTCCACCAACAGTAAAAACATATCCACTTGTGGACTTTGTTTCTGTTGAGCCTGTTATCCAATTTGCATCACTATATCCTTTGATAACCGCAGGATATTTATTGTAGTACAAAGCATAGTCTTGGGTATATTCCAAATATCCCAGAACTCGTTTCATTGCCACCCAGTGATGTTTGTTGGGATTACTTGTGAATCGACTAAGTTTACTTATTGCACAAGCTATATCAGGTCGTGTACAGTTCATGATATACATTAAGCTTCCCAACACACGAGCATACTCGAATTGAGACGTGCTTTCACCTTTATTCTTTATAAGATGATGGTTTAAGTCAATTGGAGTTCTTGCACTTCTAAATTCCAAGTGTTTGAATTTTTCAAGTACTATTTTCACGTAATGTGATTGAGACAAAGCTAGACCCTGAGGAGTCCTCTGGATTTTAATTCCTAAAATTACATCGGCAACTCCTAAGTCTTTCATATTAAACTTACTAGCAAGCATACGCTTAGTAGCTTGAATGTCGGCAATGTCTTTGCTCATTATTATCATATCATCTACATATAAGCAAACAATGACTATATGATTTGGGATGTTCTTAATGTAAACACATTTATCACATTCATTAATCTTAAAGCCATTTGACAATATTGTTTGGTCAAATTTCGCATGACATTGCTTGGGTGCTTGTTTTAGTCCATAAAGGGACTTAACAAGTCGACACACCTTCTTTTCTTTTCCCGGAACCACAAACCCTTCAGGTTGGTTCATGTAACTTTCTTCCTCTAGATCACCATTTAAGAAGGCTGTTTTTACATCCATTTGATGGATTTGAAGACCATACAAGGCGGCTAACGCTATTAGCATCCAAGTGGATGTAATTCTTGTTACCGGCGAGTATGTGTCAAAATAGTCAAGACCTTCTCGCTTTCTAAATCCTTTGACAACAAGTCTTGCCTTGTATTTGTCAATAGTACCATCGTCTTTCATTTTCTTCTTGAAAATCCATTTAGAACCCAATATTTTGTTACCTGGAGGAAGATCAACCAATTCCCAGGTATGGTTGCTCAATATGGATTCTATTTCACTATTGACAGCTTCTTTCCAATATTGTGCTTCTGAGGAGGACGTTGCTTCCTTGAAGGTACGAGGCTCATTTTCTAGTAGGAAAGTTAGAAAATCCGGACCGAATGAAGTAGATGTCCGTTGACGTTTACTTCTTCTCGGATTTTCCTCATTAGGCATACCATCTATTATTTTCTCCCGAGGTCGTTTTGACTTTTGGTAGGTCAATTCACTTTCCTTTTTATACGGATAAATAGTTTCAAAGAATTCAGCATTATCTGATTCTATTATTGTATTAACGTGAATCTTAGGATTTTCTGATTTATGAACCAGAAAACGATATGCCTTGCTATTGGTTACATATCCAATAAATACACAATTAACCGTTTTTGGACCTATCTTAACCCTTTTAGGTCTAGGAACTTGTACCTTAGCTAAACACCCCCACACTTTGAAGTATTTCAAGTTGGGCTTCCTTCCTTTCCATTTTTCATAAGGAATGGACTGTGTTTTACTATGAGGTACTCGGTTGATTGTTCGGTTAGCTGTAAGTATAGCTTCCCCCCACAAGTTCTGTGGTAAACCAGAACTTATCGACAACGCATTCATCATCTCTTTCAACGTTCGATTCTTTCTCTCCGCAATTCCATTAGATTGTGGAGAGTAAGGGGCAGTTTTTTGGTGAATAATACCATTTTCCAAACATATTTCTTCAAAAGGAGATTCATATTCGCTACCTCTATCACTTCTTATTATTTTGATCTTTTTGTTTAGTTGTGTTTCAACATCACTCTTGTATTGCTTGAAAGCATCAATTGCCTCATCTTTACTATTAAGTAAATAAACATAGCAATATCTCGTGCTATCGTCAATAAAAGTAATAAAATACTTTTTCCCACCGCGAGATAGTGTTGACTTCATGTCGCAAATATCTGTGTGAATTAAGTCTAAAGGACTCGAATTCCTTTCAACAGACTTATAAGGATGCTTAGCATACTTTTATTCCACACATATTTGATATTTGGAATTAATGCAATCAAATTTTGGCAATACTTCTAAATTTATCATTTTTCGCAATGTTTTGAAGTTGATGTGACCTAAGCGTGCATGCCATAAAGTGTTTGACTCAAGTAAGTAAGAAGAAGCATTAACTTTATTGATAGGAACTGCTATTACATTTAGCTTAAAAAGGCCCTCATTCAGGTAACCTTTTCCTACATACACATCATTCTTACTTAGTACAACACTATTAGAAACAAAAATACATTTGAATCCATTCTTGACAAGAAGTGAGGTAGACACAAGATTCTTGCGAATTTCTGGAACATGAAGAACTTGGTTTAGAGTCACAATTTTTCCCGACGTCATCTTCAATGCAATCTTGCCAACTCCTTCAATTTTGGCTGTAGACGAATTTTCCATGAATCTGCGGGGGCATAGGAAGAAAATAACTCCTTGTAAGCACAAACATGGCGGGTGGCCCCAGAATCAATCCACAATTCTTTAGGATTTCCTACCAAGTTGCATTCAGACAACATGGCACACAAGTCCTCCATTTCTTCAGCATTTTCAACCATGTTAGCTTGATTCTTCTTCTTCTTATCATTCTTTGGTGCACGACAATCCACGGCCTTATGCCCAGATTTTCCACAGTTGTGGCAATTACCCTTGAATTTTTTCTTGCTTGGGTAATTCTTTGGTCCAGAAGCCTTCTTTCTCTTCTTATTTTGTGGCGCCTCCTCAGCAAGGAGGTCATGCACAATGACTTGTAATTCTTGGACTTGAGTTATGACCGACCTAGTGTCAATCATCTTGAAATCCAAAAACCTTGCAGCCACGAACTTCTTAAGTCCAGCATCCCCAGTCTTGTACTTTTTCTCAAGCGCATTCTATAACGCTTTTGAAGTTTCCATGACACTATAGACATTGTACAAGCTATCTTCCAAACAACTCAAAATGTAGTTTTTGCACAAGAAATCAGAATGTTTCCATGCTTCAGTTACAACAAATCGTTCATCATCTGGTGTGTCTTCATCCAGGACTGGAGGATCCTCCTTGATGAATCGCTGCAAACTCAACGTAGTAAGATAGAAGAGCATCTTCATTTGCCAACGTTTGAAGTCGATACCGGAAAACTTTCCGGGTTTTTCTGCTGGTGCCATAGCATGAGCAGGAGTTGAACGGCTTGACGAGGCAGCAACATTCGTAACAGTAGCACCCGTTCCCGCGACATTTCCATTAGTTTGGTTTTCATTCGTCATTTTTCTGTAGAGTTGGAAACAAAACAGAACTTTGTTAAATCAGTGAAGTTTTGATATCTTCAAACTGAATACCAAACCAAACATACAACACGTAACAATGGTGAAGTTTTTATATACTTCAAACTCGTACGTTTATTATTCCGGTAAAGTTTTGATATACTTTAAACCGGAAAGAACAATTATAGAAAGCACGAAGGCTTTAGTCTCCAAACCAGTATACAAAATATAGATAACAATTTAATATATATTTCAACACAGAAACGTTAGATAAAATTCCTTAAGCTTGTTGTCGCTACTGTGTTAAAACAAAAAATTAGAAAGACTGTTAGAAGATAAACTGGAAAAACAGTAAACTATAAAAAAAATATTCCGAGTCCACAATTTGCTTGTGCGTCCTTAAGGAATTTTAACCCCCTCACACGTTGCCAAGGTAATGGATTAAATCCTCCCAGGATGAAACGGAATAAACCTTCCTGCAACAGTGGCAATACAAACTGCAGGATACCAACGAACTCAAAGAACGGAGCAAAATCACACTTACGAATTTGAGAGAGAGAGACTGCAAAGTAGAATACAGTATTCAGAAGGAAGGAAGTTCTATAATTTTTCAGTGTCGAAAAAAGAAGCTATGCCTCAGAATTTAAAGGCAATTATCGGAAGAGGTGTGATGTCTGTTCAGGAAAAAGTGTCTGTTCAGGAGGAAAAACAACGTTCAGCAAAGGCAGCGTGAATTTGAATTCCAGTTAATTCCGTTAATGAACTGACTGGCATTTAGTTAATTATTAAATAATTAATTAAATAAATTTTGTCCAAAAAATAATCTTATCGATCATTTGACAAAGCCGAAGCCGAAGCCGAGCCGAGCCGAGCGAGCGAGCGACGGCGATAGCGCGAAGGTTCATTATCTTCAACTCCTTTTAAGAGCTCTAAGAAGTGATCCTATATATATACACACAAATGTAGTTGTCCCTCACCAATGAGGGACAAAGTTCACGACAAAAGCTCACTTGATTCAAATTTTCATTTCCCTCCATTTTATTTCCCACCATTTCCCAATTCACACTCTTAGACTTTAAAGCCCAATGATTAAAGTCTTTAAAGCCCAATGCTTTAAAGTCCAACAAGGTCTGCATACACTCTACCCTCCCCAGACTCCACTTGTGAGATTTTACTGGGATGTTGCTGTTGTTGTTGTTGACATACAGTGGATATTTGTTAAATACAAAGTTAATGTACCTTGATTTTCATACTTTTGGTATAGTAGTAGTAATAATTTTCACATGTCTAAAATGGCTATATATGTAAAAACAGGATCAAGAACTAGGCTGCAAACTCTAGTGTATAACCCTCCAAGGAATGGACCAACATTGTGGGAAATAGGCATTCCAGATAGAACTGCTGCAGAATTCTTCATTCCCAATCCACAACCAAGACTTCAGAACCAGTTATACATCGAACATTACGCAGAAAAGTGAGTCAACTTCATTTAAATTATGCATCTTATTTTTTTCTCAAGTTTTTTCTTGACTCAATCAGAACTTGTTCTGTTCGTTTTTTCAGGTTTAGGCAATATGGATTATGGGATCGTTACACAGAACTATACCCTAATGATGATTTAATCTACACTGTTGGATCAAGCAACTATCAAACAGATTGGTTCTTTGCTCATGTAAATAGATATACTTTCAAGTATGTCCAAAACATCCTTTTTCCTTTAGTTTTTTTATTGTTCACAAATATTATTGCAGTGGTAATGAGAAATAGAGTTATGTCTTCAAATGCCTAACCTATATATACCTAAAGAAGGATAAAATTAACTTATTTACATCGACGACAATGTAAATAATTCTTAAAATATCAGTGTAATTTAATCTATTATAGCAGGGAAAAAAATAAAAAAATAGCCAGAATTACAAGTGTAGTTGAAAAATAGCCACAATTTAAAAAATAATCGAAATTTAGCCACTTTTTTATGTAAAGATAAAATCTGAACAAAAATAACCTTAAAAATCCAGAATTATTCAACCATAATATGCTAGAGTTTGAATGTTTTACCTATGAGCTTCCAGCATAATGTGCTGGAGTTCCAACACAATGGGCAGGAAGTTTATATGCAGGAGCTCCATAATCCAACATATTATGTTGTAACTTTCCGTATGCTGGAGTTCCAGCATAGTTTATACGCAGGAGCTCCATAATTCCCATATTATACTGGAACTTTCCGTATTTCAGCAAAACATTGGCTATTTTTGTTTTAATAATTTGCATGTGTTGTTCTCTGCCCTATTCTATTGTTTTAATATTGATTGTAATATTTTTGCCAAACAGTGATGAAGGGAACAAAACATATATACCAACAACATGGCAAATTGTGTTTGATCTTCAAGAAGTGGAGAAGTCCTCAAATTATACACTTCAGCTAGCATTGGCTTCAACAAATGAAGCTGAATTACAAGTATGGACTAACAAATTTTCACATGCTTTGTATACCTGCAAAATTTCTCTTGTATCTATTGTATTTTTTCGACTCACTCTGTGTTTTAATTGTTTAGATTCGAGTAAACGATCACGATGCAGATCATGTTCCTCACTTTACGACAGGGTTGATAGGCAAGGATAACGCGATTGCAAGACACGGAATTCATGGATTGTATTGGTTGTATAGTATAGATGTCCCTGGATCTGTTCTTGCTACTGGAAATAATGTTATATTTCTTAAGCAAAGTAGAGGTTCAAGCCCCTGGAGTGGACTAATGTATGATTATATTCGTCTTGAAGGCCCTTCTGCAAATGATTAAACAAAATTCGCAAGCTGATTCAAAGTAATCGTTGTTATTCATTGGATTTTAGAGGAGCTACTTTGTTAGGAATGGGAGTTGCTATGATTCTTCGTAAATAGTTTGTATTCATTAGACTCAGGGGCGGATGTACATGGGAAGGGGTGAGTTCACATAAACTCATCCTCCTCCTCGAAATCATGTATAGCACTCGTAAATTTCAACTCAATACTTAAATTAATATGGGTAAACCCAAGCTCAAGTGAACACTTTAGTACATTGGAAAGGAGTGCCTTTTAATCAGGGGTTCGATCCCGTACTTTTCTTCTTTGAAATTATATTTTAATTAATAAATAGGGCTAAATCCCCATGCTCTACTGCTTTTTCTAATAAAATACACTTTTGTTTCTTTTTTCCCCTTTTATATTAGTTACACGTTTTTGTTTTTCGTTCTCTTTTTGTCTTCGTTTTGATCTTTAAAATTCCTAAACCAAAATTACGTCTCTCAGACACCCTCTAAAAAACTCGGGTCTCTGGTGCTCGTGGTGCACTCATGCCTTTGAAATCTTGGATACGCCTTTAATTAGACTCTCATCTTTTTATAGAAAAGCAAAACTCGAATGGGTATAACAGATGGTCAAATTACATAACTTTTTTTTTGGTGGATATAATATAAAGGAAAAATTGGGGGATGTTGATACAATTAGAAATTCAGATTTAGCTTACCTGGAAATGTTTACTGCAGCATCTGTTCTTGCTAAGGCATATATGACTCAATGGTTCAAAGATTGTAACTTATTTGGTACGATAACTGGAAAAAAGGTTAACAATGTTTTTTTTTTGCTTAGCAATGAAAGTTTATTATTAAGCACGTAATTAAGAAGTGTTATTACAGCATAGGACTGATCTTAACGATGCAGTCCCTAATAAGTTTTTATGGAAAATTAAGAAAGCAAGTAAAGGTGGTTCACACGAGAAGGAGTCTTCGCGTTCAACATAAGTATGTGATTTTCAGGTACTCCCATATTTTGCCAGTGTATGTGCCACTTGGTTTCCCTTCACGGTAGATGTGCCTAACAGCTGGTTGGCCCATTGCGCCGAGCAGGAATCTGCAATCATGTAGAAAGTTAATGTAAGCTTTGTTATCGCATGTGTTATTTAATAAGAAAATTAATACCTGACAGTCCGTCTCCACTATTAGTGGTATTCGATTTTTTGTGAAAGCGAGTTCCAAACCTGTGAGTAGTTGATATGTGGCTATAATTCATGGTTTAGCATATTATGTGCCTTGCATTTTACATGCTTTAATGATAAATTACATTTTGTTTGCGCGTAATGGAGTCTATTTTATGTGTAGGTGAATTGGAGATGAAAGTAGAGTAAAAGGGATACTTAAACGTTGAAAGTGTGCTCGAGAACAGTGAAAATAAGAGGCCAGGCAAAAGCCAGCTCAACCAGGTAGCCTGGCGAGGCCAGCCAAAGGCCAGGCTGAGGCTGGCGTTAGGCTGGCGACGCCAGGCCTGGTGCCAGGTCCAATCCGAGTTTTGAAGACTTAATTTGTTTCCCGGCTTGACTAGGATTTGACCTACACGTTTAGGTCTTGGCCTAAACATATAAATAGACCCAAAAACGCCACTTTGAAAGACTTTAGACCTAGACAGACGAGAGGGAGATCGAGATGGGACAGATTTGAGAGGGGATTCGACCTAAGGAGGCAAGAACACACTAGGAGCAAGGCGGAGAATTCTTCTACGAGTTTTTCACTTCTTTTTTTTTTATTTTCATTATTGGTTATGAATTCTAGTATTGTAGTTATGCATGATATTATGAATTGCTAATTTGTTATCTAGGGTTTTGATGGAACCTATTGAAGGATGATTTTCCTGTTACGTTAATATAGATTTGCTGTAGCTTTTTCTCTATTTGTTCAACTACGTTTATATTGTGGTTGGTTGAAGAGCTCTCAATCGGCTGTGCCTATTTGGTGTGTATTACTCGGGAGAGAGTGCATATTTAGGTAGTTGTTGAACAACATCACTCCTAACGTATATGAGGGATCAATACGGAGGGTTAAAGGTGGATTAGGGATAATGAAACCTTGGGGCGATCCGAGTGAGCTGTAGTTAATGCCAGCTAGCGTAATTTGGGAGAATATGTCTAGTAAATTGTGGTAATTACTCGGGAGAGAGTTACGACAGTCAGAGTGCTCATGATCGGTAGAGAAAACTTAGGCAAATTTATAGAAAACGTAGCGGAAAGGATTCCGACAATAGGGAAAATCATAACTCTAGACCTCGGTAATCTTGTCTCTAATCCTTATCCTTCTTAATTGATAGTTTTACTGCTTTCTAGTATTTGTTAGTTAATTAGATAAAAATAAATATTATAATCTTTATAATTAGGAAATTGTTTGGACTTGTGTTCTTAGCGATATTGAGCAACTGCAGCTAAGCTTTAGTTCTCTGTGGGATTCGACTCCGGATTTGTAAACCGGCCGGATTATATTTGCAACGACCGCTTAGACCTTTTTATAAGGCATAGTAGGGCGTGATCAGTAGTGCAATTATTTCTGCTTGTATTGGTGATGAGGCCACTATATGTGGCTAGGGAGTCCATCAATCTGCTTGAAAGGTTAACAATGTTTTTTCACCTAACATTCTATTTTTATGCCATTTGCGAAGATGTTGTTTGAAATATAGCAAAGCAATGTTCGGTTGGCAAACCAAGGAAGACATTATTCCTATTTTAATAAATATAGACTTTTTTTTTGACTTCCCAATAATTTACTTAAAGTATTAAAATTTTACTTCTATTATATTCCTTTCCTAGCGTCTGTTGTATAGGGATGGTGTCTCAATTCCATTTAGCTTAGCCTAAAATAATTGGTATTTTGCCAAAGTTTGGCTCAACCACCAAAACGGAGTTTGAAAGGAAAAAGATATATAAACCTAAATAAATGCCCATCCAAAAAAAAAAAGAATAAATGGTATATATATATATATATATATATATATATATATATATATATATATATATATATATTGTATTTTTTTGAGACATGCTCTTAAAATAGTTGTTCCATTCTGAGTGCCTATTCCCAACACCATCTAATTTGATTTTAGGATATACACCTAATTTTTCTGGGATGATATTTCAAAGATAATAAACCTGTAATTATATCTCAAGTGATCTGATACTATAAAAAATATCGGACTAACAATGTATATAAGTTAAATTACGAATCGTAAAAGAATAGCATATGTTTTCACAAAACCTAGTACAAATGTAATTCAATAATCTTTCTTTACTTTAACAGATAATATTAATACTCCGTAAATTAAGATATATACGATAATACATTATAGTTCAATACTAGTAATATTTCCATGAAAATATAACATAAACACGTAACATGCCCGACTAAGTTTTTTCCCCAAAGATATTTCCAAAATCTAAATCTCTAAAAAGTAAACTAAAACTAAATCCAAATACCATCAGAAAATTCATAGAATTTTTATCTGTAAATTGTACTAACTTTCTAGCAACTGCTATATATTGGAAAAAATCCTAATTTGTCTGCGTTCTTGTCGTAAGACGTACTTCAACCGTCAACGGTAAATACCTAATACAAGTGGAAGTCAAGGTTCTAATCTTAATGAAATACTACTTATATATTTGACAACAATAAAATAAAAATATGGATACGTACGCATGTACTTTTAAACCAAAAATATTTCAAAAGTTCCATTCAACTTGTATATATATACCCAAATATCCTCAAGAACTTCAAAATCCAAAGCAATTTTAACTTTCTCTAAGGTATGAAGCTCTCTTCCTTTTTTTTCTTTCTTTTATGTCGTTGATCAGTGGCGGAGCCACCTTATGCTAAGGGGTATCAATTTTCCGGAAAATTACATTATTTAGCTAGGTTAAAAATTTATTTTTGTATATATTACTATATGTATGTTGACTCCACTTATTTTCTTCATATGTTTTATATATATATTTTGATATCAAATTCCTGACTCTGCCACTACCGTTGATACTTCTTGCATGGTTTGTGATAATATTCATCTATGTTCCTTCGTCAAATTGTTCAACCACTTCATCTAAGATTAAAAGTTTAAGTTGTTAGTGTTAATAATTGATGCCTGTGTGAACTAAACCATTAAGTTTTCTGCATATTCTGATACCATATTAAATTGAATACGCTTTTATTCACTTAATTATATTCTTAACATTGATAGTTGTTCTTTTGCAGTGTTTTTATGCTAGGAGAGATGGTTGGAAAGAGGTTACAACGACAAACATTATTATGGTTTACAATTATTATCCAGCTTTTCTCGATTTTCACTAGTTCGAGGATGCTGCATGCTAGGTATATACATATAATAATAAGATACTAATAACTTTCTATTTTTTCTTTTTTCCTTTTCCCATTGTGAAATTTTAAGCTCAAACACTTAGCTATATTTATCGAGAATTTCTTTTATTTTTTCCTTCTATTATCTGCATAAAAAAAGAAGAAGAAGTATTTATAAAGAAAACCAAAAAAACAAAAACACTGGTATATTGTAATTTCTCCAATTTGTTGTACGTTGTTGAATGGATGTTAATTATAACATGATCATTAACGCTGTTACTATGTTGAGTTTAATATATGACTCATATATCGTCTGACCTTTTTTTTTTTTTTTTTTGATCTCCTAATTACAGGCATACTCCATTAATGAAGGATCCTCCAGTCAAATTGCACATCTCACATCACCATGTAAAGTCCCATAATGACTTTTTGACTTTGTTCCTTGACTAATTAGTCGGTAGGGGTGTACAAAGGAAACCGACAAACCGCACCAACCTGATAATCTGAGTCAAATCGAGAAAAAAAATTCTACTATGGTTTGGTTTGATTTGGTTTGGTGTTGGAAAAAAAAACCCGACCATAATTGGTTTGGTTTGGTTTTAACTAAAGAAAGTCAAATCGAAACCAAACCAACCCGACATTACACATATGAAAATTTTAGATATATTTAATATATAAATATACTTATTGTGATGTAATTTATAAATATTTCTTAAAAAATTTCATAATTTTATCTTTTAAGGTATTATTTCAAGGTTGGACTTAGAACTTTTGAATATTCCAATAAGTTTTATAGCCATTAACATTAGTAAATTAAATAATGCTAACAAAAGCCCAAACCAAAATCAAATCAATATTAATGCTAACAAAAGACGTTCAATTCAATACTACGAACGGGAATGTATTGAATATTTATTCTTTGTTTTGCAATAATTTAGATAAAAATGCATAACCTATTTTTATTTTTTCTTTAGCGTTTAGTCATGTAATTAATACTCCCTTATTAGTCTACTTATTTTAGCATGACTTAGTACTTTTAGATTATGTTTATTTTTATTATGGCTTTATAATTAGCAATATTTAGGATAATGCCATGCCACATCTCATATTTTGTATTATTTTCTTGTAAAATACTTTATATAGTTGTATCTTACTAGGATTAAAGAAATATTTTGAGCACAATTTATATATTTTGTTCTACGAAGATTTTACCGGAAAAAAAAAACCCAAAAAAATCCGAATAATCCGAAAACCCGAGAAAAATTGAGAGCGAAAAACCCGAGTTTTATTAGTTTGGTTTGGTCTTTAAATTTAATAACCCGACACAATTGGTTTGGTTTGGTAATTGTAAAATCCGAACTAACCCGGCCTATGTACACCCCTATTAGTCCGGATCTTTACACAAATAGCTGACTAGATTTACTTTTTATTTTTCTTAACCAGTATACAAAAATTATATACTGATTATATATGGTTAATGGCTATATACATAATATAATACATGGATTATAAATCTATATATTATACATTTTGTGATTATTTTTAGTTTAAGCGGTTGGATGGACGGCTAATAAGAGGCGGACCTAGAATTTGAAAGTCGGGGGTGCATTTTTGGATTCAATCAAAATCTATTTTGTATAAAGAGTGTCCATTACTAATAATGTATCACTATTTTCTAAAGACATATGCATGTATATATATACTAATTTTCCGAACTTTACGAGTGTCAGTGATCCCTCTACGTACAGCATAGGTTCGCCTCTGCTTCTAATAGTTCTCCTATGTGATTGAAAGACTTATATTCATGTATTTATCAGGTGATAATAGATAATGGAATCGTCCAACTTACCCTATCAAATCCAACTGGACACATTGCTGGGGTAAGTTACAAAGGCATTGATAATCTCATGGAGAAAAGGTTTCCAGAATCAAGGAGAGGGTAAGTTATTTTTGATTTTTCCTTTTCATACTTAGCTTTTCACCATTACATGAAAGAATTAAACTAATGTTATTGTGAACCCATATTGGATCTTTACACAAATAGCCACCCGGATTTACTATTTACTTTTTCTTAGCCGGTATACATAAATTATACGCTAATTATACATGGTTATACACGCGCGCGCACACACATATATAATACTCCATCGACTACTTTTAGTTTAGGCGGTTGGATATACGGCTATTTAGGTTAATTCTTCAAAATTTTAATAATACAATAAGTTCAGTACTAAACTTTTAAGTATGAATTATCAAGTTCAAATCTTGGATCTGCCACCGTAAACGAGTGCTTGTTTCCTTTGTCGCCGGATATGGTAACAGTATTACCACCTTCAACTAGTTATCATGTTTGGATGATTATTTTTAAATGCAGATACTGGGATACCATGTGGAAATCTCCAGAAGACAAAGATAGCACTTTTGATACGTAAGTTATTTAATTTGGTTTTTAAGTTAATTGCAATTAACACCATATAGTTTAGCTTCATATAAAATGTTATATACATAAACATATGTGTGACGTTTTATGGTATATATGCAAAAATATTCTCAGGTTTTTCATGACAAATTTCCAAGTTATAGCAAAAGATGATAATAAAGTCGAAGTTTCTTTTACAAAAACGTGGAATTCCAATGCTGACCATGATCTTCCTCTAAACATCGACAAAAGGTGAGTTCTTTTACATGATTAATATTATATTCTCCATAATGTGAGTTTTGTGAATGCCAACTGAGTATCATAACTAAATTGTCTTTTAATTATATAATAAAAAATATGGGTTAATTATTTTACATGAAAAATTACAGGTTTGTGATGCTGCGAGGAAGTTCTGGATTCTACTCATATGGTATATTTGAACGTCCAGAAGGAATGCCTGAACTTAGACTAGAGGAAGCCAGGATCGCAATTAAGCTCAGACAGAGTTTGTAAGATTTAAATCTTAGCCCTAAAGCCTACTGACTATTTATAATTTAGCCATATATGTGTAGAAGTGTTATTTGACATACAGTGAAAAATGTAATTGTATAATTGACCACCATGTGACTCCGTAACAATAGCACGGGCTAGCCAGTTTTCGGACTGGTCATTCAAAAATAGTCATCGTTTGCAAAGTCATTGAAATATAGTCACTATTTTGCTGCAACAGGGACCGGTCCAGTATAATATACTGGAGATCTGTGCACCTGTGTATGAACTTTCAGCATATTATGTTGGAACTCCAACAGGCGGAAGTTCCAGCATAATATACTGGAGATTGGAGCACCTGTGTATGAACTTCCAGCATATTATGCTGGACCGGTATATTATAACTGGAACTCCAGTATATTATGCTGGAGTTCCAGCATAAGTATGCTGGAACTCCAGTATATTATGTTGGAGTATTTTCCGGATTATAAAAAGTGTTTTCGTTCAGATTTATCTTTACATGAAAAGTGGCTAAATTTCGATTACCTTTGAAACTGTGGCTATTTTTGAATGACCACTTATAAATCTGGCTATTTTTTAATTTCTCCCTATGACTCCGCCCCTGCTCTTTAATCTCGAGTTGTAGTTGGAAGCGCATATATATATATATATATATATATATATATATATATATATATATTAGTGGTCAAGAGGTCACAATTCAAACTGCAATGGACGAGTTTTAATTTAGATATTAGTGATCTCAAGAGTACCATCGTTGTCCATTGAAGCATTCCATTATTCTTTGTTAACTATGTGAAGAAAAATTACATTTAATTAGTATTTTAAATTGTTATTTAGCTGAATTAATTTCCTATATTTAGGTTCCTCTATATGGCTGTATCAGACGATATGCAAAGGGTAATGCCAACAGATCAAGATCGTTCAACTGGCAAAGTCCTTGGTTTCAGAGAAGCTGTTAAAATAACACATCCATCCAACCCTAAACTCAAGAATGAGGTAATAATTAAGTGATTTTCTCCATAATTAACTGCATTATTTAAACTTAATTAAAAAAAATTGCAATTAATGATTAATATTGAATATTATTATGATTTAGGTTGATGACAAGTACCAATATTCGTCCGATAATAAGGATATCAAGGTACATGGATGGATTTGCAATCGTCCTCATGTAGGGTTTTGGGTGATTACACCAACCAATGAATATCGTAGTGGTGGACCAATGAAGCAAGATCTTACTTCTCATGCCGGTGCAACATCCTTAGCGGTAAGTGATTTTATTACTATTTGAGAAGTCAAACAGTTTTTTCTTTATATGTTTCGCTTTAATTATATAAGTTGCACAAGCATATGATGATTAAGTTCTAATAGAGGAGACGTTAGAACTACAAATTTCGAGGGTTAACCCTTTGTAAACGTCACAACTGATGAACCTAGAGCCTTTATTATAGAAATTATATTGTAATTGAGAGATTGGGCCATGTCTCAGCCCTAGTACGACAGATCATGTCTCACAGATCAACTACTGATTATCGCCTTGGTAAGTTATCACGTTGTATGTATTTTATAAATATGCTAAATATTCGTAAATATTTAATTGTGAATCCAGTTACTTATTGTATATTTACTTGAGGTCATTGTAGGAACTTATAAACTTCAAATCATGAATACGCATCTGCTCTAAACCTCATTATTATTTTTGAACCGTGGGAGTATTTGATGGCACAAACAATAAGTAATACAATAATTTGAAGAACTTATATAATAATATTAATGCATTTTGTTTTTATGTTTTTTGCAGACATTTTTCAGTGGACATTATGCAGGTCCAGAATTAGGAGTTAGTCTCAAAGAAGGAGAGCCATGGAAAAAAGTATTTGGTCCTGTTTTCTTTTATCTCAACTCTGATTCTGGTAACAACCATCGTACTCTTTGGGAGGATGCTAAAAGACAGGTAAATTGATAATAATTTTCAAAAGTAGAACTAGGATTTGAAGCTTACAGGTTTAGAATTTTAATATTTTTAAGTTAATGAGCACTGAATTAATAATTTATACATATTCAATAGATTACTTAAGACAGATACAAGGTTTCGCGAGCTATTATACAGTGAACAGGTTACCCGGTACGCACCCGAAGAGTAGCGGTTGCGGATTTCCCTGGGAATTTTCAAAAATATAGGGTTTGCCTAAAATTATTAGGATAGGCCAAACCCATAACTTTGACTCTAGCTCCGTCCCTGATAATTTTACTAGTATGATTTTCTTACAAAATAATAACAATAAACTAACATAGAGCATGAAATTTTATTCATTAATTTGCAGATGTTTGAAGAAACTGCAAAATGGCCATATGATTTCCCAGAATCAAAAGACTATCCCAAGGCCAATGAACGTGGCACAATTAGTGGTCGATTATTGGTCGATGACAGGTACTTATTTCCTCAGTTTCTTAATCTCGCGATTTTTGAATCATTTTAGAGTTTAATTAATTTATTAGTAAGCTCAAATTTAGATTGGTTATAATAAAGTGTTTTAGAAAAAAAATGAAGGTTTCTGTAACTTCGTTTTATTATTAGGTACATAAGCAACGATCCTATCTTTGCTAAATCTGCATATATTGGATTGGCTTTGCCTGGAGATACTGGATCATGGCAAACAGAGACCAAGGTAAGCCCTATTAAATATTTACTATATTCAGGAAAAATGACATTGTATTGCCGCTATAAAAATAATAGTCGAAAAAATATATATAATTTGTATATTTTTTTATATATACACTCTATATGTTATATACAAAAATTATACAAGTTTTATACACTTTTTCGGCTACCAGATGTAAATAGTTTCTGGCACGGGCTAAAAGTGATAATACGCCTAATATTTATGTGTAAATTTTTTATATTAACTGTATATATAACTTAAACTCTTTTTATAAATGTCATGATTAAAGTATTTTTTAATGAGTTATTCTCTTTTTTTAACTTTTTCTTTTCTTTTTCTTATTTGCTCTCAGGGTTATCAATTTTGGACTCAAGCAGATGAGACCGGATATTTTAAGATTACTGGAATTATACCCGGAACTTATAACTTGTACTCTTGGGTCCCTGGAGTTATTGGAGATTACAAATACAACCAAACCTTGAGCATTACTCAAGGTTCTTTTTGGCATTATAACTATTGTTACCGTTCAGTTATTTTGTTTTTGATTATTCCTTCCGCAAGTTTAGTTCATTTTTCCGCACTTGTTAGGCTTACCTAGTCGTGGAGACTAGGTGCCGTCACGACAGTTCACTGAGGGCGAACTGGGGTCGTGACAAGTTGTTGTTCTCCTTTTTCCCCTTTTTTCCAATTACAAAACTACTTGCTTAAGAATCAAAATAACTTTTTTTTTGTTGCAAAAATAACCATTATGTGTGCAGGAAGTGAAATTAATCTAGGTCATTTAATTTATAATCCTCCAAGAAATGGTCCAACTCTATGGGAAATAGGCATCCCTGATAGAACTGCTGCTGAATTCTTTGTCCCCGATCCATTGCCCGGCTTCACTAACCGCGTTCTCAGCAATAGTACACAAAAGTAAGCTTCTATTAAACATAACTAATTTTGTTTCTCGTTATTCACAAAAAAAATTACGAGTTTAAGTTCTATGTACCGATAGTGTAATAAGTATGTATAAGAAAACTTTTATCATATCGATTATAACTCGATTTGGTTATCTTTTATTATTTGCAGGTTTAGACAATATGGTTTATGGGATCGTTATACAGATTTATATCCTGAAGAAGATTTAGTATACAAAATTGGTGTTAGTGATTACACAAAGGATTGGTTCTACGCCCATGTAACTAGGTAATTAATTAAAGTAGTATATTGTTTAAAACATTAATATTTTTGTAGTACTAATAGCCATATAATTATTGGCGTTTTTTTTTAAATTTTTTGTGGAATTTTCCCATTGCAGGAGAACTGAAAACAAGAAATATATACCAACAACATGGCAAATATCATTTGAACTTCCAACTGTGGATAAAACGGGCTCTTATACACTCCATGTGGCATTGGCTTCTGCCACTTATTCCCATTTGCAAGTATGTAGCCAAACTCCTCTCTCACTAACATTTTTTTTTAAGAATTAAATAGTCGTTAACTTTTTCACTTAAATTGAATATAGCCGGTTGAAGTATAATATATATATCACCTATATATAATATGTGTATAATCGTATATAAATAAGGTATATACTATATATACCGGTTAGAATAAATTATCGACCGGCTATTTGTATAAACAGTAATTCGACCGGCCGGTTATTTGTGTAAAGAATCCCTTTTTTTTTCAAACCAACCAAAATTTTTTTGGGTCATCCAACCAAATAAGTACACTTACAATGCAACTCTTTTTTTGGAGAAAATCTCACTTTATACCTATTAATTTCAAACTATTTACCCTTTAATGCCTAGGCCTAAACTATTTATCACTCCTACCCATATTCCCCAAATTATTTACCCGCTAATTTCAGATAAGAAACTAACTCCCGCTTCCTTTAGCTTCTCCAGGACAAATGTGGCTGTGTCACCTTGCCCAACTGGTAGTATTTTATTTCTTCTTATATTATATTAAATAATATTAATATTATTTTTTTTCTTATTCTCATTGAGTTCATTTGACGTGAACTCTAACTTACCACTCTAGTCACGTAGAGGCAATTTTCGAGTTAAACATGTCTTTAAATAATATTAATATTATATTTTTTTCTTATTCTCATTGAGTTCATTTGACGTGAACTCTTACTTACCGCTCTAGTCACGTAGAGGTAGTTTTCGAGTTAAACAAGTCTCTATCTTTTCTCATTCAACTCTCACTCTTCAAAGTAGGGGTATACAAAGAAAATCGATAAACCGCACTAGATCGATAATCCAAGTCAAACCATTTTTATTTATCATAATCGATAAGCCGCACTAATACCTTCTGGAAGTTCATACTGAAATTTGATAGCATTTGGAGCTGATTTAAGGTGATTGAGATCGAAATTTTCAGCCGAAAATCGAAAAGAACACAACTACCCAATAGTATACTGCTATGGTATACAATATGCTGTAGGAGTATATAGCTATACTGCAACAATATACTATTATACTTTACAATATACTGCAATGATATATTGTAATAATCGAAGAAGAACACAATTACTTAACAGTATACCGCTACAGTATACAATATACTATAGGAGTATATAGTTATACTGCAATAGTATACTATTATAGTATACAATATATTTGTTATAATATACTGTAACAATATGCAATATACTATAACAGTATGTTGTAATTGTATACAATATACTATAATAATATACTTATTACTTGTAAATTCACTTGCCTTTTCCCTTTTAATTTGCTTTAAGCTTTTACCTAGCGTCAGGGGCAAATCGAAAATGCGAAAAAAAAAAAAAATATTATAGTATACTATATAATGTAATGGTATGCTCTTACAATTAGATCCTTTGAGAATTTTTTAAAATTTTTATTGACAAGTGATATTATTTCAGTTTAATAATTGAATTAAATTTTTTTAACTCTTTGCGTACAATTGTATACCCTGTTGGTATAGCTATATACTATACTGGTATCATATGTTTGTTAATATTTTTTGGTTGTATTAGCTACATTTACTTGGTACACAATTTGATTTTCTTTAGTAATAATATAAAAAAATAATAAAAAATAGTGAAAACAGTAAATGAAATTAGATTATGAAGAGAAAAAGAATATATAAAAAAAAAGTTAAATGAAATTAGAAAAGGAAAAAAAAGAAGAAGAAGAAAACGAGAAAAAGAAAAGGAGAAAAGAAAAAAAAAGAAAAAAAAAAGAAAAGAAATAGAAAAGATTTGGAGAATAAAGAAAAAATTCCCCACAAAAACTACTATAGGTAGGAAATGTAATTAGTTTATGGGTAGAAAAACAAATGGGTAGACAAGGGTAAATAGTTTTGTTTTTGTGGGTAACTGTATCAAAACCCCCTTTTTTTACACTGACAATGCAGAATTGTCTTAACACTATCAAATCATATAAAAGGTAATTAAAGCTAATTATCCGTAAAAAGAAATTAGTAACCTGAAATATTGGAAGTAAACCTTCTACAGCAAGTTAAACTGCACTGACTGTGGTAAATTTCATTTACATTATCCGTGGTTTTTAAGTTAAATCCTATTACAAAATAGATTAGTGCATTGCTTTTCTCTTAATTTAATTTGTTTCTCATTACAAGTATATATTTGGATAATAATATGTTGTTTTTGGTTTTCTGAATTATAGGGAAGAATAAACAACCCTGATAGACCAAGGCCAAATTTTGAAACCCCAGGAATTGGGAGGAGTAATGCAATAGCAAGACATGGAATTCATGGATTGTACAGTCTTTTCAGTTTTCAAATTCCAGGATATGAATTACAAAATGGAGAAAATATCATATATTTAAAGCAAGTTAAAGGTGGTAGTCCTTTTAATGGAGTCATGTATGACTATATTCGACTCGAAGGCCCTCCACAGTAAAATTAGATTATATATATTCAGAAAATTTAGGAGTGCAGTACAATTTTTTCACTTTTTTTTTTTTTTTGTAATTTTTTATTCTTTCTAGCGCAATAATTTGGTCTTTTGTATTCTTTTGTGGGTTGAATGGGAGAAGCAGATTTGTTTTCCCTAAAAGGGGATATATTGATTCAACTTTATCTAACTGCAGTTACAATTCTTTGTATTTTTGGGAAAATTTATTACATTTCTTAAAAGAATCTAAGGTTGAGTGTATAAAATTATTTTCGTAGTCTACAGGTGTGTAACAGGGATTTAGGTACAAGTTCAGATGGTAATCTATGTATTTCGCCTACATAAATTTATACTAATTTAATAAGATTACAACGAATAGGAACCCATAATTTTGAAGAAAAAAATAATAGATTCAATATTAAAAATCTTATAGGTTGAACCCATAAAGAATACATCTATTTGTCGACTAAACTCTATAGAATTTAAATCGTGAATCCCAAAGAGATGAACTCTCTCTTCCCTAATGCTCATTTTCATACTGAATTTATTAGATCAAAAGAAATAATTACAGAGATCAAGATTGTTTACTGTGAGCCTAGACAATTATCATTATGAATAAAATATAGATTAAGTCATTAAGATATCCAGAAAACATAAATTCAACAAATGTTTTTATCATGTCTACCTCATACTTATGTCACAGGGACATGTTTTGATCCTTAACCATTGGAAATCTGACGAGAATTTCTCACACAAAATTTTCCTTATTTGTTGGAAAAGCCGACTGTTTCCTACATAGACAACATCATTGGGCAAAGAGAGCTTTGGGTTTGCTTGTTTAACAGCATTTTGATTAGTAGGTTATCAAAAGTAGAGAAATAAAGCAAACAGTAGAGATCGGTTTAACTAAACCAGACTGTACTTTTTGTGGTTTTCCATAGGATTTAACATAAATAAATTGTTGGCTAACCCACGATTTAAACTTTGTGTTCAAGTTCAAAATTCTATCACAACATGTTGAAGATGATGTTACGCAGCATTCAGAGAAGCTTCTAGAGATTGCCGCTTAGGTATGACAATTGAGGTTGCTCCTGCTATAGGTCGGAAGTCGGCAGAAAATGCTTTAAAAAGCTGTTGACCTGAAGAGTAAAGTAAATCCATAACATACCCGGCCCGACTCACGTCATTCCAACCACCTAGGTCCAGGTATTCTGAAGAGAGAGAGAGAGAGAGAGAGAGAGAGAGAGAGAGAGAGTGCCAGCATGAGGTCAAGAATCCGTTTATTCAACAATATCTCTATTGGGCAAGCGAAGACCAGTCGAAAGTGAGCTTCCCGATAGTCTCTCCCTTCCTAGAAATAAAATTCTAACTATCCCGTTCCTGTCTCCTTACTCGAGAAATATATTAATTGCACTAATTTTTTACTGAATTTTTTACACATATACAAATTCATGGCTAAAACAAAGTTTACCTCTACAAGTAGTGTAAAAGTTCTTTTTATAGACTTAATGTATAAAAGTTAAACTCATATTCAGAATAATATCGATATCAACAACATGAATAACCGATCTCATAATAAGCTTGTCCGTAATACAAAGTATGCTTCCAGTGTCGAATTAAAATTACAACAGCTAGCAAACTTGAACATCATACATGCTCCTTTAGTAAGCTTCATCTTCTCCCTATCCAAGAAAATAAACTGTTAATTATACTTATTACTCCCTTCGGTCCAAAATAAGTAATTTTTTGGCTTTTTTCTTGTGGTCCAAAATAAGTGATTTTTTCAGATTTCAAGAATGAATTAATTATTTTTTTCCTACATTGCCCATGGAGTAAATAATATTGGAGTATGTGTTAGGAGTGTTTATGTGAAGAGATAGTAAAGGTTAATATGGTCAATTTCATTGTTAATTAATGTTAACGGTAAATTTTTTAATATGTGTGAAAACAACCAAAAAATCACTTATTTTGGATCGGAGGGAGTAACAGTTTAGGATTGAGGCGTTATTGTTGTTGTTGAATGTTGATGTTGTTTACCCTAAAAACTTAAGTATTTTGATAATTAAACATAAATTATAGATAAACATACTCATAATTTGCTTGATCAAATTAACTCACCTTCATTGGAGTAATGAAGTGTACAGATTTCTTTTTGGCCTTAACCTCAGGAGACTTATACTGATGTGATTCTCCATATTTCTTGATTAGCTTTTCCCTAACGTAGGTTTCATATATAAAAGTAGCTCCTCTAAACTGGGGCAAAACTAGCCATGCCACACCAATCAACTTCACATCGTACCATATTGGTATCCTAAATCAAAATTCATAAAACAAAATTAAAGTAAATAAATAAATATATATATATCTTCACCTTCTATTTCAAATTTTTAAAAAAAAACAACAATAAACTTGCTACTATAGTATGGAAAAACATTTTTTTTTATAAGCGGTCCTTGAGGAGTTCAGAAAGGATCTCATCATAAACTTTTTGAGATAGTGGCGGAATTATAGCCAAGAGGATATATAAAGCAATGGTGTAAATTAATCCACCGCAACAGTTATTTGGACCGTTTAAAAATAAAATGAGTCGATAAACTCTTCTATTCTACTCTCTTTGGAAATGCGAAGATTTTTCCGAAAAGTCAAAAGAGAGCTTACCAATCAAGAATGGGTTGAAGTAGCATCTCCACAAGTGTAAGAAAGGAATAGAGAATCCAATAAGAAAGCCATTGCTCGTCATCCAACTTGGAAGTGCTCTCTATAGCTATTATTGATGCATATCTACACAACATATATTCAAAAGGTATACAACAATATCAACCTAAAACAATCTAACTTAATAAGGAAAGAAGGGCACTTTTTTTATATACTCCCTCTTTTTCAATTTAGATATTCAAAAACTATACGAGAAATACAATAAGTTGTAATTATTCTCATGTCAATATGATAAAAAAAATACTTTAAAATGTTGGTCAAACTTTATACAATTTAACTTTCGATAAACGAAATATGTCATCTAATTTGAAACGGAGGGAGTAATAATATTACGTACAGAGGATAGAGCAACATCGTCACTGGCCTGCAATTTTAGTGCAAAATATACAACTGTCACTTTTCAAGAATTTTTGAACAAGTACTAAACATAGATAAAGAATTAAAGACCCCATAAGAAAAAGAATACAGGATTTTTTTTAAAAAAAAATATTGCATTACCCGGCAATAGTATGAAGATGAGTGATCAAAGTCCAAAAATGACCCATTATTATTTCCTTTTGAAAAGGAAATGATATGATTCAGATGAAACTTCAAAAAAGAAGAAGAACAAATGTGTTTGAGTGAGAGGAAGAAATGCGGAGCAGAGACTTTATTGAACAAAAGAAAACAATTGTCGGGTCTAAGATGGACATTAATCCGTATCAGATACTTACTTTGACGTAGTGTCCTAGGTTTAGCACATGACAGATCAAGTGAACTTTGAACATGAATTCAAGTACAAGATCCAAAGTAATTAATCACATCATTAGATTGAGTTTTAACAACAACAACCCAATTGAGTAATACTAATTAAAATGAAAAGACAACTGAGAGTGCGAATTGAACGAGAAACAGCTCATTGCACATACGGAACGTAGCTTATTCAGATAGCCTTATTTTATAATTTCTTACGAGTACTCTATCATCAACAAACAACGTTAAAAAGATAATCCTACCAATTACTTTTCACATGCAAAATTCTTTTTCGTACATCTAATATATACTATATAAAAAATTATTTAAATATAATTATCCTCGCCATTACAAAGGGCCACAAGAAATCTGAAAATAACACACAATAGATCTCAAAAAATAATTATTTTTTATTTAAATAATAAGTGGCCACAAGAGATCATTTTCTGAAAGATATGTTATATTTGTCCTTATTAAGTAATAGGAAACTATTGAAGAATTCCCTATGAAAAACATGAACATAATAATAAAAGCTCTGCTGAAGGTATGCTTCTCTCTCGGTGCAGGTAACTAACGTGAGCCAGCCATGGGAGGAGAGCTCATGTACCATCTCAGGAGGCAGTAATGGCAATGTCATCCTCGACGCGAGGGAGGAATAATGGAGGAAAAAGTGCGAGCACTAAAATAGAATTGGGAAACAACAGATCTGAGCTGGAAACCAATGAAACACTAAATACTAAGGCGATTGAGGAGAAATTACAGCAGAAACAAGCTGTGAAGCAATGGAACAAAGTGATTCAAGCAACTGCGAGATGTGAGAAATCAAATCCATCTAGTAGTGGTACGAAATCATGGGCAGATGAGGTGGAGGAGGAACTAGGGTTACCGGAACAGAAGAGCTCAATTTGGGATGAATACAATTGAATTGGAAGATATATCTAGTGAAATTTAGTACTGGAAAAATGCAATAGTATGTTATGTACTTGGTGCAGACCCCCCATTTGCTGTGATTAAAGGCTATATACAGAGGATCTGGGCTAAATAAGGAATAAACAAGATTTCAATGCTTAAAAATGGAGTTATTCTACTAAGGTTTGAAACTGAGAATGGGAAAAATGAAGCTCTCAATGGTGGAATATATCATTTCGATAATAAACCATTAATAGTGAAAGCATGGACTCCAGATATGGAGTTCACGAGGGAGGAGCTACTCACAGTTCCAATTTGGTTGAAGTTTCGAGGCCTAGATTTTAAGTGCTGGAGCCCTAAAGATTTTAGCAAAATAGGCAGCCTAGTAGCCATTGATGGTTGATCAAAACATAGAAAATAAGGTTGGCCTGCAGTTTGCTAGACTCTTGGTAGAAGTGGAAATGGATGTTACATTGCCAGAAGCGGTTCAAATTGGTTAAATCTTTCTCAATCATCCTGGCCGGAACTTGTATGCAGCACGTGCATGCATAAAAAAGTGTTGTTTAGGAATGAAAAAGGGCAGCTGATCGAGCAAAAGGTGACTTATGACTAGAAACCTACCTTATGTAAGTTTTGCCAGGCTTATGGACATGTAGAAGAGAATTGCAGGAAGAAGAAAGCACCTAAACCTGCTGTTCAGAAGGAGAAAGAGGAACAACAGGTGAACAGGAAACATGATAAACAAGCAGAGAAAACAGATGATAAGTTGGCGAAGAACAATGGCAAACAACAAATTGAAAACAGAGAGACAACATCAAATGTTGCTAGGATAACACCTTCAAGAGTGAGCAAAAGCACTCAAATCCAATGCCAACAGATTGTGAGGACAAACACATTTCAGGTGCTGGATAAGCCTGAGAAAAGCAGACAAGGGAGAAAGAAGTAGGTGGAAAAGAGGAAAGTGTGACCATACCCCACTCAGGGGATAGTTAACATGCTATGTTGGAATACAAAGGGCTTAAATGCCCCTATTAAGCAAAATGAGGTATAACTCCTTTGCAATGCTGAACAAGTTGATTTAATATGTCTTTTGAAAATAAAAATAAAGAAAGATAGAATGGACCAAGTAGTCCAAAAAATATTTGGGGGATGGCAATAGATCACAAATTTAGAGTTTCACTATGATAGTAAGATCCTGATTATATGGAGGCATGATTATTACAAGGTAATACCTGCGTAAATAACTGCTCAAATGACAACATGTGAGGTGAAATTCATTCCTTAACAAATGACCTTTATGTTATCAGTAATCTATGCTTTAACACTAAGGAAGAAAGGAGGAATTTATGGGAGAATATCATGGAGCAATGTAAGGTGTGCACAAGACCATGGATGCTTGTAGGTGATTTTAACTCAGTGCTAAACGAGGATGATAGAATAGGGAGCAACCCTGTTCCATGGGCAGAAATAGTGAATTTCCATAATTGTGTCGACGTTTGTGGACTAATAGCAATGACTCACTTAGGGAATCATTATACATGGAATGATAAACATGCTGACCAAAGGATCTTCTCAAAGATAGACTGAGTGTTTATAAATGGGGATTGGCTTGAAGATATGCCTCAATGCAAAGTAAGATATTTGCTTGAGGGTAGTAGTGATCACTGCCCAACAAAGGTAACATTAATAGCAGAGAAAGCCAGAGCTAAGAGGTCATTACAATACTGCAATGTATGGGTTCAACATCCACTCTTTTTAGACAGGGTAAGAGTCGGATGGGAAGTGCAGATCCAGGGGTGCAAAATATTGCAGGTAGTTAAGAAACTAAAAATGATGAAAAGAGGATTAAAGCAGTTGAATGCTCAATATTTTAGAAACATAGGGACAGATGCAGATGGAGACAAAGCAAAAACTTAAAAAAGCTCAAGAGCAACTACAGAGGTGCCCTATGAATACTGAATCTTAACAACAGGGGAGAGAGGCATACAAGAAGTTTAGGTCTTATTTGGAAAATTTATATCTCCAACAGCAAAGCAAGGCAAATTTGATACAGTTAGGAGATGACAACACAAAGTATTTTCATTCAGTAATCAAGTACAAGAGGTTGAAGCAGGAAATAACTCAACTAAAAGATGAACAAGGAGAGTGGAAAAGTGATCTAGATATAATTGCAAGAATTTTTGTGGACTAGTATGTAGAGCTACTAGGGAAAAATACTCCAACTAGAGTTAAAGAAAAAGAAGAATTCTTAAAAATGGGACCAATGCTTGCCATAGAGAATCAGGTAGACTTGATAAGACCATATAATGCTAAGGAAGTCAAGGACACAATATTTCAGATTGACAGTAGTAAAAGCCTAGGGCCAGATGGTTTTGGAAGTGGTTTTTTCAAGGCAGCGTGGAGTATAGTAGGAGAGGATATCATTGCAGCAATATTGAAATTCTTCCATAATGGGAAGTTACTGAAGCAACTGAATGCAACAAACATAGCATTGATACCAAAGGTAGAGGTCCTGGAATATGCCATCCAATACAGGCCCATATCTTGTTGAAATGCAGTGTATAAAGGGATCTCAAAGATGTTATAGAGCAGACTTAAACATCAGTTAGCTAGTTAATAGCAGACAATCAGGATGCATTCATTCAAAGCAGATCCATGATGCACAATGTTCATATGCGCCATGACCTATTGAGACACTATAGTAGGAAAACTTCCGCTAAATGCTTAATGAAGATAGATTTGAGAAAAATCTATGATATGGTGGATTGCTGGTTCTTGGAAGAAGTACTGAGAGGATTTGGGTTCCCTGAGAGGTTCCTACAACTGATCATGACTTGTGTGACATCAACAAAGTTTTCTATCAAGATCAATGGAGAAGATCATGGATACTTTGAAGGCAGAAAGGGGCTTATGCAAGGAGATCTTATGTCTCCTCTATTGTTTGTTTTAGTGATAGAATACTTTTCCAGAACATTGAAGTTCATGTGTGGTTTACCTGACTTCCAGCTTCATCCTATGTGTAAAAAACTTAAACTAACTCATTTAATCTTTGCAGATGATCTTATGATCTTCTACAAAGGTAACATTGCCTTAGTAACAAGAGTCATGGAAGCACTATCGCACTTCAGCAAAGCATCTGGTCTGATTGCAAACCTAGAAAAGTTAAATATTTTTATAGCAGGGGTTGATGAGGTGACTAAGGAGCAGTTGCTAACTAGGACATGATTCATACAAGGTACATTTCTTATAAGATGCCTTGGGGTGCCTCTGTCATCCAAGAAATGGAGCAAAATGGAGTGCTATCAATTAGTGAATAAAATAACAAGTAGGATTAAAGTTGTATATGCCAAGCAGTTATCCTATGCAGGAAGACTTCAAATAATCAACTCAATGTTGTTCTCCATTTATAATTTCTGGGGGGGGGGGGGGGAGGCAGTTTTCATCCTGCCCAGAGTGTGGTTAAGGAAGTTGATAAAATCTATGGGGGAGTTCAGAGGAAAAGAAAAAAGTTTTCCTTGTGTCTTGGGAAAAGAATGCTTCCCCAAGAAATATGGAGGTTTGAATGTGAAAGGAAGTAGACTTTTCAATGTAGCATATGTTGGAAAATTATTATGGCAACTGATTGATAAACAAGATTCCTTGTGGGTGAGTGGGTGCATGGAATCTATATGAAGACTAATAATAATATTTGGAACCACAAGCCACATTTGGATAACAGCTGGTACCGGAGGAAACTCAACTCCTTAAAAGATGAAATGCATTCATGGTATGAGCAAGATCACTATTCTCTAACTTTTGAAGGAGTGTAAACTAGAAGTTATTCAGCTCTACTAGGAGATATGCACAGATTGAAAATAGCAGACTTAATATGGAGTGTTATTGCACAACCAAAGCATATATTCTTTATGTGGTTAGGAGCATAGGGCAAACTATTAATAAAGGATAAGATTCGAAAATTGCATATCCAGGTTGAAGATGGAAGTTGTTGTTTATGTGATGCAAGAACA